CCAGAACTATGCTGAGATCTTCTCCTCCAGGCCCATCCTACATACTGACCCTTTGCTGAGCAAAACATCACATCCTGCTGCTGGCTCTTTTTTTTTTTTTTGCTTTTTGGGTCACATCTTATGATGCACAGGGGTTACTCCTAGCCCTGCACTCAGGAGCTACTCCTGGAGGTGGTCAGGGGACCATATGAAATGCTGGAAATCGAACCCAGGTGGGTCTCGTGCAAGGCAAATGCTCTACCCGCTGAGCTATCTCTCCAGCCCCCCTGCTGGCTCTTAAGTGATGTGCCAGCCCAGTCTCCACCACTCCCACTCCGCTCTGGGATCTCTAGGATTTGAGGAGTTAGGGACCCACTGGTCCACTGGACACCTGGGGGGTCAGCAGCCTATCACCAGCTGAGGGCACTGTTTTCTTTCTCTTCTCTTTCTTTTCCCCACATACACACCCGTACCCCCTACAATCTATATTCCAGGCCCAGAATTTGTGGCAGGACCAAACTAAGGAAGATTCTCCCTTTCCTTTGAAGTACAACAGGTCAAAGGAAGATCTGCAGATGCTGAAGGCTGGCCTTTTTCCCATATGAAAAGCACTTTTGAAGGGCCAGAGGTATAGTACCCAGGCAAGGTGCTTACCTTGTACGTAACTGACCTGAGTTTGCTCCTCAGCACTTCATAAGGTCTCTTGAGTCTGCCAAGGAGTAACCCCTGAATGCAGAGTCAGGAGTAAGTCTGAACACTGGTGTGCCCACCCCCCAAGAAAGAAGGACAGAAAGAAGGAGAGAGAGAGAGTGAGTAGAAAGAGGAGAGGAGGGAGGAGTAAAGGGAGAGGAGAGAGGAGAGAGAGAGAGAAGCAATGAAGGACTTGCTGAAGGTGAGCTGAGTGAAGAGATGGAATATTCTAAGTCCAGCTGTGTTTGATTCTATCCCCAAACTTTTCAACAAACCACATCCTAAATTATTACCCATTTCACCCCAATTTTGGGCACATACTTGCCCATTATTTGCCGTGAAAACTACGCTATGTAAATTTGTCACTGGATCCAAGAATACTTCCCCAAATGGACTTATGGTTTGGTGGAATGTTAAATGATGATTTAGATAGAAAAGGTTTTCTTCCAAGTGTAAAGAGACATGAATCAATTTTTGGAAGAGTTTAATTTTGATAGTATAAATCTTAAATCTCTTAGAGTTTAGCCTACATTCCTTTCCAATACTTATCCTTTGCTTAAAGACTATACCTTGGATAACACTTAGCTTGAGTTCTCTCAAAGTTCAAGCTTTTAGAAAGAAGCAGGATATGCTTCCAGGAGATGTACAATGACCACAAACAAAACTAAAACTTTGGGGTTGTTCCCAAGCAGCGATGCCTTTTATGCAACTATAAACACTGATTGAAAAAACATGCAAAACTTTAGCATTCCCCAAATTTTCATAGCTTCCTCAACCATGGAGGCCAGAATAAAAACTCCGCCTCAGTGACAGCACCCTCTATGCCTCCCATATCTTCCCAAGAAACTCTATTCTCATCACATCAGGACCTTTTACCATCCCATTATTTTTTTGTTTTTTCCTTTTGGGTCACACCTGGCAATGTTCAGGGGTTACTCCTGGCTCTGCACTCAGGAGTTACTCCTGGCGGTGCTCAGGGGACCATATGGGATGCTGGGAATGGAACCCGGGTCGGCTGCGTGCAAGGCAAACACCCTACCCGCTGTGCTATCACTCCAGCCCCAACCACCCCATTATTTCGATAGCGCAGTTTCAGCATGGGGTGACATGATATGCAGGCGCAGAAGAAGGCTCCTCAGTCGGTCATTTTAGTCATTTTAATAACCAGGTTTACAGTAACAGTCACTGGGTGAACTTTTTTTTTTCCTTTTTTTTTTATCTCAGCTAAACTCAAAACACAGTTTTTTCACGGTTCAAACCGAACAGCTCGCCATGTCCCGCAGCCGCTTCACAGCTACCACAGATCACAGGAGTGTCAGCGTGTGTCCACACTCACCAAACACGGAACTGAACACCCACACACCACTTTCCAAAGAGGGAACTTATACCGGGTGCTGGCTGCCTGTGACAGCCCAGGAATCGATGGGGGGGAGGGGGACTCGAGGGGAAGGATTTCCAGGAGAAGGCCTGGGGCGCGGGGGGCTGGTGCTTGTGACAGGGCCCAAAGCTGGGGGTGGCCCAGACTGTAGGCAAGAGTCCAGCCTTAGAGTGAGACCCTGGAGGCAGAGCTTGACCCTCCAGGTGAAGCCATGAAGAAAAGGACCTAAGGGTAATTGACCTGGAAGAAAACCCCTTTTTCTAAGATAACTACAAAAAACCCTGCCATTTAAAAATAACCCCCAAATTATAAGAAACATCTTTGTTATGGTGGCTGATTTAACAGCATCACCAAGAACTTCTCAGCTACCCAAGACCACGGCCCTCAGAGGAGCCAGCTGACGGCGTCAGGGTTCAGAGCCTGTGAGAAGCTGAGGTTGGGTGGGCATCCTTCAAGAGGGCCCAGGCTGCCATGAGCTGAGGCAGCAGAAGAGAGACTTGAGGGTGGGAGGGTGGAGGAGCTGGACTGTGTCCCCCTCAGTTTGGAGCAAGAGGACGTGCCTCCCTGTCACGCTCTCTTCCTAAAGCCTCTGCCTAGGGCTCTTCGATATATGGGACAGGAAAAAATCAAAATAAACACTTAACAGCCAGGGTGGAAACAGAGAAAGCAGTGGTGGTTTCCTTGGCATCCTCAGGAATATCTGTGGTACCCAGGGAGAAGGCATACAGAAGCCGGCCCTGAAGCAAGGAGAGCAGGTGCCAAGTATGATGTTCTGGCTGTAGTGCTTACTCAGAATTCCCAAGTGCAATGACCTCTGCTGTGAAAGTCCCATTTCGTATCAGGGAGGGGATGAGTTGATCACAGGGGCTGGGGAACAGCCCCAGCTCTGCACCAGATGCTTTGATCGGGTTTATTTTCGTGTCTCTTTCTCCATCTGGTGGTTGTGGCCAGTACTGCAACATGTCCCTGTCTACCTAATGAAGCGGAGGCTCAGTGTCTCCAAGTTCCCTCTGCCTGCAAAAACCGTGACCCAGACACTCCGAGTTTTGAGTTATAAATCAAGAGCTGCACCCTTCCCTTGAAGCTCCCCTTAAAATATAAAAGCACCATGGAAAAAAGCCCTAAAAACAGAATGCTTCCCTACTTTGAGGAGAAATCTTTTTTTGTGTTTGTTTTGTTACAACAGAAATGAGTTCGGGTGGGGGAAATCCTCCAAGATTCCTCTTTAGTCACATGTTCTCTTTTCTCTGGTCTTCAACTTAGTAAAACCTGCAGTCAGAGACAGTGGTTTCTCCTAAGCACTTAAAAAGAGTCCGAGGCCTGCTCTTGCCTTCAAAGTACTTAGTGCTCACAATCAGGGCTTCTACCAGTATCTCCCAGAGCGCGGGAGGCTGATCTGGGGCTCCCAGGCTGAATACATTGTCCCTGCATACGGGGCCTTATCTGGTTCACAGAACTGGTTCCAGAATGAGTTTCTGGAGGAGGCCTGGGAGAAGAGCACACATCCAGCTCACAAACAGATGCCCAAGTCCCAGGCTAAGGTCCCTTCCAGGCCATGACAACAAGCTGTGTGTCACGGTGACTGACCTTGGGGTCTTGCAGGCCCAACCCACATGTTCCCCGCAGGCTGTGCTGATGAAGGGGAGACTGCTGGTTTCGGTAAAAAACAGAACCAGGGCCCCACAGCTGGCTCCCTCTGCTCATCTGTGTTTTGTTTGTTTTCGGGGGACCATTAGGGGGGTCAGGGATGGAACATGGGTCAGTGGTAGGCAAGGCAAACACCATGCCTGCTGTACTACCTCTCCAGCCCTGATGCTCTCTGCTGTTTTTTTTTTCTTTTTGGGTCACACCTGGTGATGCTCAGGGGTTACTTCTGACTGACAGTGCTTGGGGGACCATATGGGATGCTGGGAATCAAACCTGGGTCGGCCGCGTGCAAAGCAAACGCCCAACCCGCTGCACTGTTTCTCCAGCCCCCTGCCCTCTGCTCATGACTGCCTTTCCCAAGCCCCCGCTTAATTCTTGTTGAGCATTAAGCATGAGAGCTGAGATTACCTACCAGTGGCCGGAAGAGGGAACATCTAATACAAGTACTTTTCCAAAGGAAGATTCTAGTCCCCCAGGGCTGTGTCTGGATTTCAAGAGTTCCAGAGATTGAAACATATCCTAGCCCAGAGAAGCCCAGCTTCCCTCCCCCTGGGAATGGAGGTGCAGGGAAGGGGTGGGCAGAGACTTGCCCCTCTCTGTGTTCACAGAGGGGGAGTGAGCCAGGAGGGATCCCCAATGCCTGGGGTGTGGCTGCCCCACACCGGGGCCTGCTCGGCTCCCAGGGGTGGCCTTTTAGAAGCACCAAAGAGGCAGGTCGGTAAGAGCAGGAGAAGGAGCCTTGCCTTCCCCCATCTCCCCTCCCGACCCAGGAAAGGATGGAAAGCAACTCGAGAGAGAGGCTCGCGCCAACACTGGCACGGTCAAGCAGGTGGAAGTGATGGCTGGCTGTTGATGAGTTCACACATGTTCGGAGGAATAAAACCTACAAAGAGGAGATGTGACAGAGTCTGTGGCCCACGGCGCCCACCTTCTCGGCAGAACCGTGAGGGGGTGGGGGGATGGTGATGACGTGAAGCTGCTGCAAGTGGCCAAGAGGCCACGGAGATCAACACGCTTCCACAGCACAATACACAAGACCTATGCTTCCCGACCAACCCCCTCCCCGGCTCACCTGACCCAGCCCTCCGCCCACAGACCCCAAAGAACTCTCCCTTTTGTTCATTTTCCTGACATCCCAGCTTTGTCTGTCCCTTTGTCGTAAGATGCAACACTACACACGCTCTCAAACACTATATAGCACACTTGACCTTAGTGGCCTGATTGCATGCATGTAAATGGGGGGGAGGGGAGGTGCAAACAGATCGAGGCTATGCATAAACAGAAAACAAAGCAATATTCGTAAAGCTAGGCAAGCGAGCGTTAACATTGGAGAAACATAAGGCTTGAGGCTTATTGATTCTATCCATCGAAACGGTTTGGATTCGCTTTCCTTCTTAAATATCGGTGTACCATTTTGGCTTCAAAACAATCTCTTCTTGCTTCTGCCCCTCTCTCTGGGGAGAGGCGGCTTAACTCAGGGACGTGATATTGGAGCGGCCGCCAGGGGGCGCCACGATGCGCTTGCTGGCAGAACGGACCCCTTCATCCACTTGGGTGCCTGTAATGCGTTCATCCCCAGGAAGAAACAGGAAACGGGGCGAGGGACAAGAGAGAAAATCAATTAGTTTTCAATGTAAGATATTGGGTAATTTCTTAGTCTCATCTCCCCAGAAACTTCTGGTCTATTTGAGTCCTGAGAACCATAGAAATGCAGTAAAAAGAGCCAATAAGAAACCCAAGCACAAAAATTTGTAAGTCTACAACTGTACCTCATATGTCTCACTAATGAAAAATAAAATAAAATAAAATAAAATGAAATACTGTTTAATCGTAGGGAACAAGTTTCACCTGCTTCTGGGTTCCTTCCTTTCATGCCCTCATTCCTCTTGGAGAAGCACTTGGATTCATCCCATTTTACAGGGGATGACTGAGTCTGTGAGAAGTGTTGGTGACTTGCCCAAGAAATGTCTCCCCTACAAAGCAAACAGGGACCCTCCCCTCTCCATGGTCACAAACACAAATTCTGCTCCCTCATCAGAAAGGAACAGCTCCAAGCTAAATGTCGCACTAGCCAGTGGCTGGCCCATGGGGCTAATGACAAATATTTCTTGCAAATCACATGCCGTGACCCCTAGCAATGTCAGCCCCACATGTTACACCCTAAGGGCCAAAGTAATAGTATGGCAGTAGGGTGTTTGCCTTGCACACGGCCCACCCAGATTTGATCCCCGGCATCCCACATGGTCCCCAGAGCACCACCAGGAGTGATTCCTGAGTACAGAGTCACGAATAACCCCTGAGCATCAACTGGGTGTGCCACTCAAACCCTCCCCTCAAAATGTTTCACCTTATCTTTTGCGCCCCCCTCCCTCACCCCTGCTCCCCTTTCTCTTTTCCAATGTCTTCCGTCCCTCATCTCCTCCCTCACACATGGATACTTCCCTATTATTCATATCACTTTCTCTTCTTTTTTTGAAATTACTTTCTCTTTTTACTGGGCTTCCCTCACAGTGTAAAATATTAACTAGACAAATGCAAATCCATATCTGCTTCCCCCCCCCCCCCCATTTTACAACTGCTGGTTATAGAGCAACGGAACAAGAATTTTCTACTAATATCAGATAGTAGAATCTTAAAGTAATTCTAAAGAATGAGATAGCAGTAATAAGATAGTAATAATAAGATGGTAGGAATCTCAAAGATAAGATCACGGCTAATTCATAATAACACTAAATATTGGTAGCTACTGTCAGCATTTTAACTATCATTTTATTAATGAGAGGAACTTATTTAAAATCCTACTCTAGAAGCTATTGCACTTTATAAATAATAATAATAATTTCCATGACAGGGGCTGGAGCAGTAGCACAGCGGGTAGGGTGTTGGCCTTGCATGCGGCTGACCTGGGTTCAATTCCCAGCATCCCATATGGTCCCCAGAGCACCGCCAGGAGTAATTTCTGAGTGCATGAATCAGAAGTAACCCCGCTGCATCACTGGGTGTGATCCAAAAGAGCAATAAAATAAAATAAAATATTAATAATAATAATTCCCAGGACAGCTGAAGCTACTGCTCTTTGCAAATAATAGCAACGGCAATAATAATAATCAAGTTATCTTTTGACCTGGACAGATAAGCTCAGTGCTTGGCACAGCTGGACTGGGCACTGTTCAGGGCAGAAGCCCAGCTCATTCAGTCAGAAAGCACGGGGTCTGGCCTCAGGTCTGGCCTCCAAGCAGAATGGTTTATCACCTCCCCTTGTGGAGCTCCATCTGACTTTCTCAACAGGCCCTGCTGGGTGCAGCAGCCCCTCTGGCTCTGTCGTCTCCGCAGCAGGCACTGGGGCTGAGCCCCCCCCTCCCCCCCGCCTTGGGAACTCTGGGCTCCTCTGCTCATCGTCCACCTCCGGTCTCCCTTCCTCAAGACTCACCTGACAGGCTGAATCCCGACTGATGGAGGTTTCTCACGGGTGGGTTTGGCCGAGTAGGGGAGCCCCGAGTGGAGCCTGCGGGGGTGCCCCCCTTTGGTGTGGTGGTCAGGTCAAACACCGGCCCATCATACATGCCCCTGGGGACAGCGTGCAGGTCGGCCGTCTGCGGGAGAGAAAGAGCCACTGCTGGTGCTTGTCCAGGAAGGGGAGAGGTGGAGGAGGGAGCGCACAGGCTAAGGGAGGACCAGGGATGGAGCCCCACACCACAGGAACCCAGAGCAAACACCTGTGGAGCCTTGGTGGGTCCCCACCCGCTGAGGGGGAGCACAAGCATAGCCGGGACTGGCCCTGAGCTCCCCGCCCCTAGCACTAGGGAGTTCTCCTCACCCGCAAAAAGGAAATAGAGGAGAAGTTTTGTCTGACACATCACATAATGTATCAGTGAGTTCTGGGCCGATAGTGGGAGCCAGAACATGCTAAGTAAGATAGTGATGAGAGCTAGAATGATTTTAAGAAAAGTATAAAATAAACCAAAAGGTGGGGTCAAGAGCTAATATAGTGAGTAGGCATTTGCCTTATGGGCACCAGGGCTGGGTTCGATCCTCGGCATCCCATATGGGCACAAGAGCCCTGCCAAGAAGTGATCCCTGAGGGCAGAGCCAGGAGTAAGCCCCAGGTACCACTGGCTGTGGCCTCCAAACCACAATAATAATAATAATAATAATAATAATAATAATAATAATAACGAGCAAAAGGTAGTGGTTTGATGATGTGACAAGAGAAGTGGTTGACAAAGGTCTCTCCAAAGTGGCTTTCATCTGAAGCAGCTTAGCTGGAGCTGAGGGCAGGGGCAGCGGGACAGGGTGGATGGTTGTTTCCCAGGGTAGCATGGATGGCTGGTTCCTGGGGTGGTGTACCCAGTGTGGACGGCTGGATCCCGGGGCAATGTGGATGGCTGGTTTCCGGGACAGTGGGACAGGGTGGACAGTTGGTTTCTGGGGCAGTGTGGATGGCTGGATCCTGGGACAGTGTGCATAGTGTGGATGGCTGGTTCCCCGGGCAGTGTAGACAGCGTGGACAGCTGATTCCCAGGACAGTGGAGCAGTGTGGAGTGCTGGCACCCGGGACAGTGTGGACGGCTGGTTCCCAGGGCATGTTACAGCAGGTTCTCAACAACGGGACCCGACAGAGCAACACAGGATGGAAGACCCGGGTCAGAGAGAGCACAGTGGGGAGGGCAGCTACCTAGTAAGCAGCAGGCGTGACTTTAATCCTGGCACCCATATGATACCCCCAACCCACCAGAAGTGATCCCTGAGCACAGAGCCAGGAGTAAGCACTGCTGGGTGTGTCCCCCTCCTCCAGCTCTGCCCAAAGACAGAAAGGAAGAGCTGCAGGCCAGTGGGAAGGGCTGGGGCTCAGGGCACGCGTTGAGAAGCCGCAGGCGAAGTTCCCCTGCACTCAGCGCATACACCAGCTGTCAGCCTGTACATGGGCATCCTCTGTGCTGCCCCCTGACCTCAGACGTGACCATGAACATGGCCGGGGACCTTCCCCCTCCCTCTATGCATGCTCTCTGCCAGACCCGGGGTCATGTTCCCCCAACTCCCACCTCACCAAGGGTTCCTGGTCTCGTAGACAAACTGCAGGGCTACGCCTGACAATGGTGCAGTGCACACACCACTGCCCATTGCCTCCTGCAGGCCTTTGGGGGTCCACAGATCTCCGTGAGGCAGAGACTTGGGGCAAGGCCTCAGCCCTAGTAGGGCATGGCTCATTTCAGCTGCTACTTGTGACTCAGGGGGTCAGAGACTGCATCTGTCCCCTCCCCACCCTGACCACTAAACTCCAGCTCACTTAACACTTGGGGAGGGGGCAAGATTTTGATCACATGGATGCAAATGAAGAATCAACAGGAGGGAGGTTTGTGTTTTAAGCACCTTCTCTACAGCTGAAGCAGAACCTAGTTCTCCAAACTACCAACTTTACTCATCATGAGTAAAGAGACGGGAAGTGCCAAAGCTTCTTGTTACCATCCCTGTGCCAAAGTGGGGTGCAGAGCCTCCACCCCCTGCCCCCACCTTCCCACCATCCACTACTCACCCTCCTCCGGGCCTTGATGCGCTTGTAGACATAGTCCGAGAAGGGGCTGCAGGGGAGGAAGCGGCCGCCCCCCTGGGTCACGTGCAGGTTGCCGTCTTCCAGCATGATCTTGCCCTGGCAGATGACCACCAGAGGTGCCCCGCGCAGCTCCATGCCCTCGAAGATGTTGTACTCTGCAGCCTGGACACAGGGGTGAGGCCAAAGCCATGGGTGCCAGCACAGGCAGCGGGGAAAGAGCCACTCACTTCTCTGCTGGAGACCCTGCTCCAGGGGCACTAGAACCAACCCATCAGCAGAGCAGAGATAGCTTCCACTCGTCTGCACACGGTCCATGGAAGAGGTGCATGGGGACTGACTCTAGATGAGCGGATTGCACCTCCCACCATCAGGAAGCATAGTCAGGGCAGTAGTACACCCGGTAAGGCACCTGTCTTGCATGCGGCCAACCTGGCTTTGATCCCTGCATCCCATATGGTGCCCTGAGCAACACCAGGAGTGGTTCCCCAGTGCAGTCAGGAATAACCTCTGGGCACTGCTGGGTGTGGCCCCCCCAAAACAAAACAAAGCCAAATAAAGCATCACCCTCTACTGAGGTCCTCAGGGAGGTGCTCGGGACTCAAGGGGAAGCTGGGTGAGACCCTAGTTTTACATGGGTTAGCACTGAAGAGAACTCAACTACCGTGATGTGAAAGAATGCTTAAGCCCACTGCACCCACAGCGGGATTTCACTGTCCACTAAGTGTGAGGCAGAGGAATTGCAGGCATCTGGAGTCAGCTTGCCCGGGCTGTCCTTCTGGCTTCACTCTGAACTTGCCGCCCAAAGGAGTGAATTCCTTTACCCGCTAACCCACCCCACCCCCGGCCAACCCCTGTACCCTTATCTAAATAATGGGGGCAATAATTATATCTGCCTGTAGGCTATTACGGAAAATCAATAGGGTAAAATCTCATTGCCAAATAGAAGTGTTTGACAATATCAACAATTTTTCTAAGCAAGTAGCTCCGGGTGTTAGGGCTTCAATCTGGGTCTTCAAATACCATCTCCCACGTGACACTCCTCATGAGGAGTTCAGGAGGTGTGACCCTTTCTTGCTCCTTCTAGGCCCAAGGTAACACTGTTCTTGCCCTGAGAGACAAGGCCACAGGTCTAGCTTAGGCAAGGCAGCGGGAGAGGGGAGTCATCCTGGGAAAGCTTTCTGGGCCTCAGACACTCACCAAGTCCCAGTGTTGGCCCAGCAATCATAACAATGAGTGGCCAGATGGAGCCAGGATGCCTTCCTGCCCAGGACACTAGGATGGGAAGACCTTCAGCTGATTCAGCTTGGAAAGCAGGAATGATACTGCTAAGGTTTAAGTCACCAAAAACTAGGTCTATATGTGTGTGCGGGGGGTGGGGGGAGTGGTAATTGTGACACATGAAGGCTGTCAATGTGGAACACGTGTGTACATACGCACATGCACACACATGCGTGCACATTCACAGCCACCCTCAGTGAATTGGTTCCGTTCCAGAGGGGCATTGTCAATTCTGTGTCCCTCCCAGCAGCTCCACCTACCGACTGGTGGTTCTTGGCAGAGACGATCTTCACAGCATCCGGATCCCAGATCACTAGGTCACTGTCGGAACCAACTGATATTCTTCCCTTGCGGGGATATAAGTTGAAGATCTTGGCAGCATTTGTGCTAGTCACAGCCACAAACTGGTTTTCATCCATTTTTCCTGTAGCCTGTTAAAGGTGGGAAGGAAGGAAGGAAGGAAGGGAGGGAGGGAGGGAGGGAGGGAGGGAGGGAGGGAGGGAGGGAGGGAGGGAGAGAAGGAGGGAGGGAAGGTGGGAGGGAGGGAGGGAGGGAGAGAGGGGGGAAGGAGGGAAGGGGGGAGGGAGGGAGGGAGGGAGGGAGGGAGGAAGGAAGGAAGGAAATAATGAATGTGGGGGCTTCTCAAGGGCCTCACAAGGTGCAATTCTAGGACAGACATAACTGCAACCCAAAACTTGACAATCTGTCCAGCTGGCAGGCAAAGTAGTTCTACACACACCTTCAGACATCAGTCACTGTCTTGGATCATTTTTCTTCCTCAAAATATATGCACATATTTACTTATTTATCCATTCTATTTCCATAAAGGATTACCAAGGGCTCTTAGCAAACCCAAGGGTGAGCCCATTCCCAGGTGCTACATGAACACAGAATAAATACAGAAGAAACTCATCAGTGGACAATAATGGCTATCCCCGAATTGTGAGACTAGGTTTGATTTTTTGTTTTGTTTTGTTTTCTGTAGCAAGTTTGCTTTTTCTGTGGTCTCCAAGTTATGGTGTGAGAAGACATATGTACATTTTAACGATTTATATGATGTCAAGATAAAGCATCTCTATTTATAAATATGAAATAATGCTTAGAATGAGGCAAAATCAAATTAACTACATATGAGTAGAGACACAGATAATTATAGTTTCCTAGCTTCAAAACAAAAATCCTGGTTAAGGAAAGAAGAATCTAGTTTAAGGGCCGGAGAGTTAATACAGTGGGTAAGGCCCTTGCCTTGCATGTGCCTCACCCAATCTGATCCCAATATGTTCCTCTGAGCACTATCAGGAGTGATTCCTGGATGCAGAGCCCAGAGTAAGCCTTGAGCACTGTTGAGTGTGTCTAAAACCAAAAATTAATTTTAAAAAATTGGTTTAAAATATCTAGCTTGGGAACCAGAATGATAATACAGCGGGTAAGGGTGTATGCCTTGCAAGCAGCCAGCCTGCATTCGATCCCCGGCATCCCATACAGTCCCCCGAACACTGCCAGGAGTAATTCCTGAGTGCAGAGCCAGGAGCAACCCCTGAGCATTACTGGGTGTGAGTCAAAAAGCAAAAAATTAAAAAAAATCTAGCTTGGAACTTCCTGGAAGCCAAGAAAAAAAAAAAGGAAACTTAATAGTTTCTATTACACCATGCAGTATAAATAAGACACTAGTCCATATGCAGGGACCGGTCCCCAGGTCCCAAGATTATTCTACCTACTTCTAAAATGAGTGTTTTGCAAATAAAACCCAGGGGCATTCGTTACTTAATAATGCAACAATTCCTAATTTTACTAAGATCTTTTGGAGAGTATTCATTAGCATGGCTATTTCTTTGTCAACCTCAGTGACATTAAAAGGAAAATGAAGACGCTGTTTTACAACCACCTGCGCAGGGTCTGAGTACCCCAGGGAGAGGCAGCCTTGAGAGGGGCATGCTGGGCTCAGGCAAGACCCTCAGCTCAGCTTTCAACGCATCTACTAAACCCTCTCTGAAGAAGACATAGAACTCTCCCAGTGTCTCAGTTCACCACAATTTTACAGATTATCTTAAGTATAGATGGGAAAACCTGTATACCTGGTTCCTAGTCCTTAACAACTCCAGAAGGTACCCCAGTCCTACTCATTGCTGCCCTCATATCATGCCATGCTCCGTCCCACCACCCCCCGCCATACATTTTATTTTCACTTGTGTCCCCCTTGGAATATCCCGAGTGCCCATTGGGAGCTATAGGGCCCCCAGTTGAGAAACACTGCTCGAGATAATCATACCCAAAGTGGGCAATGCCGTCCATTTCTTTCAGTAGGAAAGAGAAAGCTACAGAATAACCGCCCTCCTACGTGGGGCTTACAGGTGCCCATCAAGGCAGCAAGAAAGAGCCAAAGGTAGTGCAATGAGAGAACTGATTCATTCAGCTGAGTTTGGTGGTGTGGGAGGAGGAGTGGGGTACTGAGGGGGCACGATGATGTAATCATCTGCCCAGAAGCCTCCATCACTGCCAGTACTGCAAACCACAGAACCTTGATCAGTTAGAAGCAATGTGGCCATGCCAGCCATGGGGGAAGGCAGCAACAACCAGGGTGGTGGCAGGTGCCCTCGCTGCAGCTGGGGGTCTTTCTGTTCACATGAAGAAGGTGTATTTATGGGGCCGGAGCAATAGTACAATAGTACAGCACTTGCCCTGCACTTGGCCAGCTCCCTGGCACTCATATGGTTCCCCAAGCCCTTCAGGAGTGATTCCTGAGCCAGGAGGAAGCCCTGAGCACCACTGGGTGTGGCCCAAAAATGACGACAAAAAAGTATATTTTTAGGGATCAAAAAAGTATATATAAATTTGGAGACCTCCAGAGTCTAGACATTCCATTCCTCAAACATGGGAGTCACACGCTTCCAGAGGCATATCTGCAGCTCTAAGGACCCATCTGAACCCCACACAGCCCCCTGAGGGCATGAAGGAGCAGAGACAGGAGGCTGTGGCCTAGCCCTGGCACCGCTCCACAACCTTTATTCTTACCACGGCCTTGTCCCAGATGACCGACATGCGCTCCTCCACCCCATTGGTGCCCTCGGGGATGGCTGTGAAGTTGTCCTTCCCAACGGCTTTCTGGGCAGTGCTGAAGGTGCAGTGGGCACTTCCGGAGAGCTGCAGGTCCCCACTGACAAAAAAGAGAAGGGAAGGTGAACACAAGAGTTGCCAGACTGGGGTCCAGACCCGAGGGTGGAGCCTAAGTGTGTGAGGCATAACTGTTTGGAGCACCAGCACTGGAGTCTAGAATCCTCCCTCTATCACTTGCTGCCCTAGGGAATTTGGGGTAACGTTCTCCCATCTCTGGCACCCAGTTACCCTATCCAGAAAACGAGGGGGTGGGATTTCATCATCTCTTGTGTAACAAAATCAAAGGGACTCAAATGTGTGTGTGTCTGTCACCTGAGCAAATGAGCTGTCATATAATTGTGATTTGGGGGTTACCACGGTGGCAGTTCAGAATTAGGCAAGTGGTTCACCTTTTTCACCTGAGTTGCAAAAGGGGGTGATGCGTCCTCCCTCATAAAGTTATGAGGATCAGTGAGCTCACGTGTGAGGCACCTCAGAGTATGTACTACATATGAACTGCTATGACCATTGCTAACATGACTGCTGGGTGGGCTGAAAGATGAATGGGAAGAGCCGATTGTCTGTCCCAGACTGCAGGGAATAAGATGTTTTGTGCCCTGCACACTCTCTTCTAGCAGACAGGGGTGCACCTGCCCCATGGCTCTGAAATGTTGGCATGCAGTGGAGCTGTAGGATGAACCACACAGACCTGGCCAGCAGGGAGTTGATGTAGTCAGGGGTGGTTGGGTCAGGGCTCAGAGGAGGGGATGTCACAAATGCAGCCGCTTTGGCCCAGTTCTTGCTCCAGTAATGGGTCCCATCTGTGCCGAGACTGGCAGTGATGGGCTCACCAAAGACCACATTTCCTGTGAGAGATAGGAGATAGAAAAAGGGTTTGCAACAGCAGAAACACCATCTGCACTCCTATGGTCATTGCAGCATTATTCACCATAGCCAAAATCTGGAAACAACCCGAGTGCCTGAGGACAGATGACTGGATAAAGAAACTATGGCACATCTACACAATGGAATACTATCAGCGGTTAGGAAAAATGAAGTCATGAAAGTTGCCTAGAAATGGATGCCTTAATGGATGGAAAGTATCATGCTGAGTGAAATGAGTCAGAAGGAGAGGAGAAGGAGATATAGAATGACTCCATTCATTTGTGGTATTACCCGCTCTGCTATTGCTCCAGCCCTATAATACATATATATGCATATATATTATATAGACTAATTTCCATAGCCAGGGAAACAGGGCTTGAAGGAGGACTGGTCAATGGTTGGATATGCCACAAGTCTGTGGGGGACAGAGGGTAGGTGAGATAGAGAATGGACCAGTATTACAATAATAGCTGGGAATGATCACGTCAGAATTGGGTGTTAAAAGTAGGTAAAGGGATATGCCTGATAACCTTTCAGTATCTGTATTGCAAACCACAATGACCCAAAGGAGGGGGGGCAAGGAGAGAGAGGGAGGGGAGAGAGAGAAAGAGAGAGAGAGAGAAAGTGAGCACTTGCCATAGAAGCAGGCTGAGGGGGTAGGTAATGGGAAGGAAACTGGGGTTGGTGCTGGGAAACTTAGACTGGTGGAGCGATGGGTGTTGGAACACTGTATGACTGAAACTTAAACCTAATCAAGAATAGCTTAGTAAGGATGTATCTTACAGTGATTCAACAAAAATAAAATCTTACCAAAAAAATAAGAAAAAAGAAAACAGGTTTGCAGAAGCTATGGTTTTCAGTGGTGCTCTCGATCATTCCAGCCCTGCAACCAGCTCCAGGCTGTGGCGATGGAGCTGGGTTGGCCTGACTGCTAGTCCAAACTCTCATCTCTGGTTTTCTATCTGCTAAACGGAAATGATTCCTAATCCATAGATTACAGGAAGTCACTGCCTGGAAGATGCAGCATTCATTCCAAGAATTTGAGGCCAATTGAAATTTGAGGTGACAGATAGATCGCTAACAGAGTGAGAGCCAGCTAGGGTTGACCACCAGCCAGAAAAATTACCAGGTGAAACAGACCATCCTGGAACTGATGAAATAAGATTATGCAGACTTCTTGGGCTTGGGAAAATGGAATTTGACACAGAGAGTGTCTGCATTTGGGAGGAAACTTGACTTCTCCATGCTTCCTATATCCACCGGAGGAGGCCAAGTTCCCAAAGGTGCCCACATGACATTGTCCTGTGGTCCCAAGGATAGCCTTTGGCTCTACACGATTAATTCTGTTCCCAAAAGATGAAAAGCTCCCATGATAATCCTGCTTGTTACTTCTTAAGCCAAAACCAAGAGTGACCTACTACAAAATACCTAAAAACCTGGGACACGATCAATCACAATCACAACCATCCTGTTATTCGTCGATTGCCTCAAGCAGGCCCCAGTAATGTCTCCTTCGTCCTAGCCCTGAGATTTTTTTTTAAAAAGCGCCATATTCAAGGCTCTTTCAGAGTTAGGAGAATGAGACCCTTCATTGTTACTGGTATTTGGCATATTGGGTACGCCATGGGGAGTTTGCCAGACTCTGCCGTGTGGGCAGGTTACATTTGGTAGCCTGCCAGTTTGTCCAAAGTAGGAATGAGATGATTCACGGCCGCATGCTTTCGGGAGCTGGGTTTTATAGTCTCTGAGTCTTGGTCGTTGATGGGATTACATGGCGCCAGGGGGCCAGTTGGTGGGTGTGACCCCCACCTACTGGAATTTGGAGGATCTGGGTGGAGGATGCTCAGCCCCGATCCGAGAGAGGGGGGAAAGAGAGAAGGAGAGAAAGAGGGGGAGAGAGAGAGAGAGAGAGAGAGAGACGATAAAAATACTGAATGCCCTGAATAAACACCATGACCTCTTGGCACCTGTATTGCAAACCATAATGCACAAAAGGAAAAGGAGAGAGAGAGGGAGGGAGAGAGAGAGAGAGAGAGCAAGAAGGGGAGGGTGGGGAGGAAGGGGATTTGGGGGATGGTAGTAAGGAAACAAGGGACATTGGTGGTGGGAAATGTACACTGGAGGAGGGATGGGTGCTGGATCATTGTATGTCTAAAACTCAATTATGAAGAGCATTGATATTCAATTAAAAAAATTAATGTGGAGTTTATGCCCAATTCAATCAGCTTAATCAATGGCTAAATAAGTATCAGTATTCCTATATTTTAAAAATAAATAAATAAATAAAAACCTGGGACACTTACATGGGTCAGATCTCTGTTCTGTTCTGGACTGAGGACTCAAATGTCACAAAAATGAGGAAAGCTGCTGGGAACACACTGATCTAAACCTTTTTTTCCCTCTTAGCAGGAGAGGGTCATTCTACCCCAACATGGCACCCAGGGCGCTGCTTCTGGAAATGCTCAGTCCAGGGGTGCAGGCTGGGGGCCAGCATTTGATTCAGTGTTCTCAGTGCTGGGATCACCCAGACCATAAGCAGAACTACTTGGCGTGCCATGAAGTGCTGGGTTCAAACTCAGCGCCTTTCACATACTATGCATATGCTCCACCCTCTGAGCTGTCCCTGAATTTCTCTGGGATGACAGATTAGTACAGCAGTGATAGGTTATATCATAGGTTATCTCAGAGAAGATGACTTTGTACCAAGTTTCTTGGAGCCAGAATCTTGGGCTCAATATACCCCATACAGACCTGGACTCCTTCATCTACCATCCTCCACCCTCCATATTCAGTGTCCCATGAGATTGAAGGAAGAAGGCTTTTTGCAAAATTCTAAATATATGTAACCTTTTTTCAACTTGAATCAATTGATCCTGGTTGTCTAGAATTCTGTGTCAGGAAGAATCCTAATAAGCTTCTGGTCTAATTGTGAAAGTGAGATTAAGTGGCCAGAGAGATGGCTCAGTGTTCAAAGCATGAGCTTAACATGGATTGGGGACCCAAAATTGTATCCAGAAACCTTTTGCCGCCTGAGTACCACCAGGTATTGCCCTCAGCCCCTGAGCACCACTATATGTCTCTCTGGAGCCTCCCAAGCTCCACCAAGTGCAGCCTTGGAGATCACTTCCTCCACCAGAAGTACCACAGGCTGGCCCAAGCAGTCCCCAGCACTGAAGGACATGAGTAGAGCCGCATCCTCAGGCTCTTGTACTGCCTGGTCAGAAGTGGGCTCTGGGTCCTCTGAGCACTGCGTGCGAGTTCCCTCTCCCTCCAAAAAGAAGAGTGTGATTGATTTGTTGATGCCTGCCATAGGCTAAAGAAGGGAGCAATGACCCATGGCAACCCTCCTCTTGGCAGTCAAAATAGGACTGCTAAGAATTACAAAAGTAATTGGGACACGGTTCAAAGGCAGGAGCACATGCTTTGCATGCAGGAAGCCTGGGTTTGATCCCCAGCACCACTTGGTCTCCTGAGCACTGTCAGGAGTGGCACTTCAGCATATCACCATAAATGGCCCTGAACACTACTAGCTATGGCCCTTTAAAAAAAGACTTTCAAAGAAGCTCCAAAAATAGCCACTAAAAAAAAATAAAATAAAAAGCATGCAAGTTAGGGCACTGCAAGTGCAATTAGGATTAAATAACAACATGGACTTGAATGTAGAAGAACCCACTGATTCTTCTAGACTTTGTGTTGAATAGAATAACCAAAGCCTGCCATTCTACCTGGGTTAGAAAGTGAGCTCAGCCAGCTAGAAGATCCCGGGCAAACCCTTCCATCAACTCCTCTGATAACTGATGCTAATCATGCCTGCGTCTCAGTAACCTTGGAGAATCCTCTGTATAAGGCACTGAAGTATTTACCTCCATGCATGGCAAACTGTTGGTCCTCATTACACTTGTGAATATTAATTTGGAGCAGACTGATGGAGTACTAAAAGCACTTGGTGTTTCAGTACATTGGGGTTCCAAGTGTGCACTGCGTGGGGTGGGAGGAAGCCGCCATGCTCTCTGCATCTCCCTGGACACAGAGCTCCCACTAACAATGCAGTGCCAGTGCATTCAGGGGATACCGACTGCTTCTGTCCACGGCCAGCTTTTCATCACTGAAAATGTCTTCCTTCCACCTAGAGAGGCAGTGGGACAGTTCTCCATGCTGGGGAATCATGAGCTAGAAAGTGACTGGGGAGGAATTCTTTTATAGGGAGACCCAGTTGTAACTGAAAGCCCCTTCCCATGAGGTCCTGGGGCCACCCTGGAGTCATCCTGGGAGAAAGCTCCAAGCAGAAAGGAACCAGGAATAAGCAGATGGTACAAGAGGGAAATATCAAAAGTAGGTTTGGAGGTGAAGGGGAAAGGTTGGGGTGGGGTGTCCCGTGAATGCCCCTTTCTCTTTTCTTCTCTTTAAAGCTCTTCTCTCTTCCCTTCCCTGTTTTCTGTTCTTTCTTTTGCCTCCCTTTCCCGCCCCTCTGTCTTCTCTTCCTTGCTGTTTTCCCAGAATGGGTAAGAAACATGGGGTTGTTTTCCTGGTTTCCCCCAGTGACTCATAGCCATGGAGCAACCACAGGGTGTCACGCTGGGATATTTCAAAACTGAGAGAGAAAACAGCAGGCTTGCTGAGCTTGGGGCCAGGCAGGAGACTCTGCAGACTTGTAGGTTCAAAAGGCTGTCTAGACAATTAAGAATACGCCCTCCTCCTCCAAGAACTGGGTCTCCCCTTGCCAGAAGTCAGGCAGCTGAGAACTCAGTCATCAGGCAGCCGGGGCTATTTTTAACTGTCAGGCACTGGCGTTCTGGGTCTGGAGGTTGGATCCAATCGCCTGCCTCTCACCACATGGCCAAAGCACACAGCGGTGACACACACAGGCTCGACTGCCTCCAGCCTCGCAACCACACTCTGCCCATTTGCCCAGTGCTGTCAGAGAGCCATTTGTGTGTTGAGAATGGGAACCAAAAGCCAAAAAGCAAGCTTCATACAAGAATGAATGGATGTGAGGGGCCGGAGCGATAGTACAGTGGGTAGGGCGTTTGCCTGGTGCTTGGTCGACCCGAGTTCAATCCCCAGCATCCCATATGGTCCCCCAAGCACCGCCAGGAGTAATTCCTGAGTGCAGAGCCAGGAGTAACCGCTGAGCACTGCCAGATGTGACCCCCCCCCCAAAAAAAAAGAATGGACGTGAAGGACAGACATGGAATGGTTGCACTCATTTGCATAGCGTAATATGACACTAACACCTAAGGACAGTAGAAATAGGGCCAGGGAGATTACATCATGGTTTGAAAGCTGGTCCCACATGCTGGGGGAAAAGGCAGTTAGGATGGAGAGGGGACCAGTAAGTAAATGATGATTGAAGGGATCACCCAGGTTGGGAGATATGTGCTGAAAGTAGACCAGGACCAAACACAATGGCCTCTGAGTATCTGTATTGCAAATCACAATGCCCAAATTAGAGAGAGAGTAAGAAGGGCTGTACCTGCCACAGAGGCAGGGAGTGGGGTGGGGGGTGGGGTGGCAGGTAAGACATTGGGAACAATGATGGTGGGAAATGTGCACTGGTGGAGGGATGGGTGCTTGACCATTGTTCAAATGAGACACAATTGTGCAAGTTTGTAACTGTATCTCACGGTGATCCAATAAAACTTGTTTAATATAAAAAGAGAGACAGATAGAAAAAAAAAACAAGAAAAAGAATAGACGTGAACAGAAGGCAGCACACAATGCCCAAAGGCAGCCGGAGAGAAGTGGCAGTGTGACAGAGGTGGTGTGTGTGTGAGTGTGGAGGGGGGCAGCCTGGGCCAGAAGCCCATAGCACTAGCAAGGTGCTGGAGATCACTGAACCCGTCTTCCAAAACACGCTGTGTTGACCATTTGGCTCAAGTAGTGGAATCCCCAGCCTGCACTCTAGACTCAGTTCTGCTAAACCAGAGCTGACGCTGGTTCAGGGGGAGGACATGACCTACAGCAGGGCAGTGACAGTCCTGAGGAGGCTTTTCCGCCTGAGCTGGTGGGAAAGAGGGGTCCTCTTTTGGACTTTCCAATGGGCCATTTTTGCCAGTTCTCTAGGATTACCGGCGGCCGCCATCTTTTAGAACTCAACAAATAGCTCCAGGTACGAGTGGCAGTGATGGGAAACGCCAGGCCTCACGGGACAGGGAAGGAGTCCAATGGGATTCTGAGAATATGTCCACAGCTGGCCACCATCTACTTAGGCTCCCACATATCATGATCCAGTGACACACAGATGAATCTCTGACCCCAGCAGGTTGCTGCAGTGATCTCTTCAGACCCCAATTATTAAAATTTTAGAATTCCTAGAGCATTGTATAGATACAATTATATTGTATCCATAACTAGCAATTCAAAGCACATTGTCTAGCATTGCATTTTCAGCAGGTTTAAGTGTTGGTGGGACTGGGCTCAAATATCGAAGGTAACCAAAGTAGAGAAAGATAGTATTGTGCAAATTGTCTGCCACACAGGTGGGGGAGAGGGGGAGATATTGAGGACTTCGGTGGTAGAAAACATGCACTGGTGAAGGGATGGGTGTTTGATGACTGCATGATCGAAGCTCAAACATGAAAGCTCTGTTGTTACCTCACAGTGAATTAATTGCACTCTACTGCACTGTCCTCACATTGTTCATCAATTTGCTCAAGCGGGCCCAGTAACATCTCCATCGTGAGACTTGTTGTTACTGTGTTTGGCATACTGAATACGTCAAGGGTAGCTTGCCAGGCTTTGCAGTGCAGGCAAGATACTCTTGGTAGCTTGCCGGGCTTTCCGAGAGGGGTGGAGGAATCGAACCCGGCGCAGCCAGGCCGGCTGCATGCAAGGCAAACGCCTTACCACTGTGCTATCACTGCAGCCCAGTGAATTAATAAAAGGGGGAAAAATTAATGATATACTTAAAGTGAAAAAAAAGAAAGGGGGCCCTCCCTCCTCCTCAAGCCCCTCTCCAGCAGGCCCCTCTAGGTGTGTGTTCTTATCCTGTTCATACTAAGAAGAAAGTCAACTGAGTGGAAAGCAGCACCAAGGCAGGAATATGAGGGGAAGACTACCAACGCCAGGGCTCTAACTCCCTGATCTAGCCATTCCTGAAACCCACAAGCCAGTCCTTTTTTTCCAAAGTCATTTGTCTTGATGTTTCCATGATGCATCGGAGAAATCGAGGTGGATGGGTAGATGGAGAGGGGACCGAGATGTGATCAAGTGAGCTGTTAATGGTGAGAGTCCAGACAAGTGCCATCCACTCCTATCAATTCTATGTCATAGAACTTAGCTATATGTGTTTTAGTCCAAGTTGGAGCGAGGATCTCCTCACAATTCCAGCTCAGAGAGAGGGCAGGAGATGAAAGAACAAAGTGGAGAGAAAGAGGCTCCCGCTCTCCAAACAAGAGATCCAAGCTGTATTATCTCAGGCAAAACCCTGAGCTAACTCAGTACTCTCATCTGTCATCTGGGAGCAACTTTGGGGTCCTGTCTTCCACATTAATATGTGGAAGGGATCCACACGGATGTGCAAACTGGGCTTTCAGGAAAGGAAGGCAGTGAGCAACACAGGCACCCTTTAAGGCGTGTAGGGGTGGGGTGGGCGGAACCCTGGGGCTTCCCAACTACAGTCACCTTTCTTCCTGGCTTGGGAGATGAGGTCAGCTGCACTCTTGCTCATGACCTTTGTGATGTACAGGGGGCAGTTGGTTTGGCTGGCGATGGTGATGGCACGGAAGACGGCCTCGGCTTCCAGCTGCAAACAAACACACAGAATGCCCAGGAGTCAAGCAGAGCACGGGATGCCCTAATCAGATCTGGATTGATCTCAGAGATCGTGTCCCAGCTGAGCAACTCTGGGCCTCTGCTGCCCATCTTCCCAGGGTCCAGACCCTGCCAACACACAATACACCTGTAGATCAAGTAACTTGTGAAATCAGCTCAGCATTAAAACCTGGCTGCACAAATGGGGCCAGGAATGGGTTCATGCCAGCTAATTCCAGTTACTTTCTTATAATCTGCAGGCATCGCAGCAGTAAAATCTTGTTGCATCATGCTCCTCCCTTGCATCCTACAGTAGGACCCATGCTTTCTAATAAGCTACCCACCCCGGATGCGAGTATTTAAGGCAAAAGGATAAGATTCATGGAGCAGGGGCGAGAGCTCTCTGGAACATTCTAGAACCTGCCAGAGTCTGAGACTCCTTGTCTGTCACATGCGGGTGAGGAGAGGGATTGCTTGGGGGTGAAAGCTCTTCCTGATCAGGGCATCAGCCGCTCCAAGTCTCACTGCTGATCACGGTTTCTGACCAGTGAGAAAGTCAGTGTTGCTCCAAATTTGAAGCCAGCTCAATTCCACCCAGAGTGGAGACCTTGACAACCTCCCATTAATTCTACAGGGATCCCTTTTTTTGCAGGGACAGGACATTCTGTTTCGTCTATACAGCCAAACACTAATATATACCCCAAACTGGGCAGAAACAATAGTACTAAAGGTAAGTGCTTGCCTTGCACACAGCTGACCTAGATTTGATCCCTAGTACTCCATACAGTTCCCTGAGCACTTCCAGGAGTAATCTTTGAGTGCAGAGCAGAAGTAAGCCCAGGGCACCGACTGCTGGGGCCCTAAACCAAATAAAATATACCCAAAAGAATGTGCAGATATCTAAGGTTATGAAATACAGCTCAACCATGGGGTGTGTGTGGGCGGGGGGCTCAGCAGACAGATTCTAATGACTTGGATGGTCCAGCTGGCATCCCCCAAGCTATACTGTGTCCCCCGAGACTCTGGAGGCCCCGGAGCTAGGTGAAGGTGGCCACTTTCCCGATGCACCCATGTTTCTGGCTTCTGGTGCACTTTTTGTGCATATGGGGAATGGGGGAAGGGGGCCCAGGACCCAGCCTGGATCTCTGCACAGCATCACTTGATGTGTCTCTGGCTGTGCTTTGAACAGCAAGAGCCTGGCTCCCCTGTGGCCGCTGCTCCTTGCTCACACCTCCTCAACCACTTCACTGCCTGCCCAGACGCTGTCCTGGCCCTTTTGATCTCATTCTCTCAGCACCCTGACAACATGACTATCTCTGGAAGATGACATCACCCTCCTAACTTCCTCCTAAAGGGCTTCCAGTGGTACAGAGACCTGTAGACTAGGTGACGCGACATGGGAGAATGAATAAATAAAGCAAGGAACAAAAAATAGCTCTGCCCAGCAATTGTGCTGTAGCTCCACCTGGCCAGGACAGTTCCCCAGAAACACCAGGTGACCCCTGGGGCTGGTGTTTAAAGAGAAGGGTTGTCAGTGGTGCCAATCACCATGGGCTTCCTCGTACCTCATGCCATATAAACTATTTCCCAAGCCCTACAGGATGATGGTTGCACCTCACTGAATCTCTGCTTCCTCAGGTAATGGGAGCACCGTCTGCCCAATGCAATGGCAGGGAAAACTGAGACCATGCAAGTAGCAGGGTATTGGGTGGAGCAATATTCCCTAATGTGGGATTTGCTGTGACTATAGCTCTGGTACATCACATAAGCATTTCAACTGGCCACATAGACATCATTAGAACCAAAAAGAATTTCTGGGTATGCCACCGATATTCTCTCGCTGTATCACCTTGTTAAAAAATTCTTTTATTGTTTTTCCCATCTACCCTCCTCAACTGGGAACTAAAGACTATATATTTTAGTTAGGTAAGTTTACTGTATCTTTCTGATTGGAAAACTTTTCTCTCTGCATGTGAGACTCTAAAAGAGACAAGCAGAATCCAAGCATTCCTAGTTCCAACTCTGCATCTACTCGCTGATGAATTTGAGGCTTGCACAGACAGAAGGGGGGTTGCCTAAATAACATGGACAGTCTTGAACTTACTCCAAGTGCCAAGACCAGGCTGGCACCAAGACCAATTAGGTCTCTGTCAGATGGACAGCAGATGCCCATCTTGGTGCCCTGTGCCAGTAGCTAAGCTTGCTAATGTCTCAGAGACAAGAGACCTAGTCACTAGTGATCGCCCATTCTCTCCTTAGCTGCTAAGCACAGACAGCAATCATCAGTCATTATTACATGTGGAACAGTTTCATCCCTGAGGTAAAGCCAACATGGATTCGACTAACCAACTCAACCTCTATCTCCATGGCCAGTATTTTTCAGGACTCACAGTAAAGCATGGAGTAAGGATGGAGGCGGAAATGCCTCTGAGGCTCACACTGATTAAGAAAGACTTAGACAGTCATCAACACTCCTACTGAAGCTCTGTCTGGAAACTCCTGCTAGCTCTGTTATCTTTAGTGAGATTACATATGCATTATCCTAGCATTCCTTTCTTATTTCCTTGGGGTCAAGTAGAAGTGGCCTTTGGAAGAAATGCCCCAATACTGTAGTCTGGTTTTCACAATCTCACCACCTTGCATGGGCCTGTGTCACAAGCAAACCTTCAAATAAATAGGCAGAGACCCTAGGCCAGGCTGCTGTGATGTGATAACCTGAGTCTCTAAGGCTGGCAAAAGGAGAAACTTCCCTGATACCCCACTCAACACCAAGGATACAGCTTACCTCCTCTGGTCTGCTCAGTACATGCCCTTCTGGGCCAGTTATTCCCATTTCCAACATCCGGGTTTGCTCCTAGAATGAGAGAAGAATAGGCATATAATTTGTAGATAAGCCCCAATGAGGATTCAAAAAATTATGCTGTTATGTTTGAATCCAAAGATGTGTGCATGTGAAGGAAAACAACTACAACATGAAATGCATATGTTGAACAAACATGTTCATTCCTACCTGGGATTTTAAAGCGAAGAATAGTCTAAAGTCAAAAACTTAAGTAGAGAGGCTAGAATGATAGCACAGCAGTAGGGCTCTGGTCTTGCATGCAAATGACCTGGGTCCAATATCTGGCAGCCCATGTGGTTCCCCTGAGCCTTCCAGAAGTGATCCCTGAGCACAGTACCAGGAGTAAGTCCTGAGCACCACTGAGCATTGAACACTTAGAAAAGTGCCTGTCGGGAGGGCCAGTCAGAGAGGTGTCGGGGATACGGAGGGAACCCGGGGACACTGGTGGAAAGATCAGGCTAAAATTTTGTACATCTAGAACTCAACTATGAATAGCTTGGTAAACCATGGTGCTTTGATAAAATTTTTTAAATTAAAAAAAATGTCCTATTTTAAAAAATTCAAGTAGAGGAGCTGGTACAGCAGGTAGGGCATTTGCCTTGCACACAGCTCTGGAGAGGTTTGATCTCCAGAACCACCTATGGTCTCCCAAGCCAATCAGAAGTGATCGCTGAGCTCAGACGCAGGAGGAAGGACTGAGCACTGCCAGGTATGGCCCCAAAATGAAAAGAAATAAAAAAAGCTAAGTAGACAGTAACAAAACATTTATGGGCTGGAGCGATAGCACAGTGGGTAGGGCGTTCGCCTTACAAGCGGCCAACATGGCCGACCCGAGTTCGATTCCTCCGCCCCTCTCGGAGAGCCCGGCAAGCTACCGAGAGTATTCGATATGCCAAACACAGTAACAACAAGTCTCCAATGGAGACGTTACTGGGCCCGCTCGAGCAAATCGACGATCAACAGGAGGGCCTCGAGCAACTTTCTCCATGACAAGGATGATGGAGAAACAATTCTTTCCCCAAATCATACATCAAGTCACAGCTGCTCAATTAATGTGCAGTTTCTTGGATGTTAATGCCCTTGAAAGTACTCGCGCTTATGAATCACTTGCATATTCATTCACAAATTACAAAACCCATTTATTCAACCAAATGTTCCCGCTCCCTGATTAGGTTTAATTCTTTCATGAAGGCAGTGACACTCTCCCCTTCAATCCTCCACCCCCTTTGTGGCACCTCCAGTCTTGAGCTGTTTCCCAAACACTGTGCCACCCCCTTCTTTGCCCCCATCACAACCTCCTGGTCTACTTTTGCAAGGGTCCGGCTACGCAGGCCCACCACCTCAGACAATATTGGGTTAACTCCTGAGAATCTACATCTTAATAGCCCCTCTGGCTTTTATTTTTCTGCTTTAAATTTATGACTCAAACGAATGGATTCATAACTGAACCACAGTACTGCCTCGAAACAGCATTACTGAGTTCAAAGCTTGGGCAGAATCTGTGTAATCAGGTTGTGTTTGAATCGAGGCCATCCTCATGCAGGCTGATGGATCCATTCTAAGCTCCTGCTTGGCTTTCTGGATGGAGCAGGTGGCCGGACAATAAGCCCTCAGGGGAAAAGACACCAGGGTTGTTCCCATGACCCACTGCACAGGTGACAGCAGAGATTAAGGAGATAAATAAACCAGAGCCACAGAGGTGTGGGGGGGGATGAAGGGGGAGGGGTGTGATATGCTGAGGCTCATCTCACTTTGGAACTAATATCTTTAGGAAGGAAGCAGTTCCTTCAACCTGAAAAGAAAGGGCTTATTTTATTTATTTTTGCTGGTTGTGCTTTTAATAATCATTTTTTAAAAATAAATATTTTCAATAAACCTTAAAAAAAAAAAGCAGAGGGGCTGGTGCAATAGTACAGCAGGTAGGACATTTGCCTTGCACTCGGTTGATCTGGGTTCAATCCCTGGCATCCCATGTGGTCCCCCAAGCAATGCCAGGAGTAACTCCTGAATGCAGAGCCAGGAGGAACTTAAAAAAAAAACAGTAGGAAGGTACATGCAGCTAGTATAAGCAACCTGGAGAAGTAAGATGGTCTCTCTGTCTGTACAGAATGGAAGAAACGTCAGGGCTGACTCTTCCTGTCATGTACTCCCCTTTTCTTTCTGATGGTATCTTTTCATAAAATATGGATGGAATGACACCTCTTCCCCACTCTGGGGACTTTTCACTCTGAATGCCACACAGGTTCGAAGTTTCTGACAAGAGCCAAGACCTCTGTCTTAGATAATGTTCTTTTGTTTTGTTTTTTTTTTTTTCTTTTTGGGTCATACCCAGAGATGCTCAGAGGTTACTCCTGGCTGTGCACTCAGGAATTACTCCTGGCAGTGCTGGAGAGCCCATATGAGATGCTGGGGATAGAACCCGGGTCAGCCACGTGCAAGGCAAACGTCCTATCCAATGTACTATCCAGCCCCTTATACTTCTGTCGACCTGAATGTAGTGTAGCAAGAACAGGATGAAAGCTGAGGGATCAGGGATTGCAGACATGTTGGGATCGCCAGGAGAATGGACCTCATATAAGCATGTCTGAACTCTCCTTACTTACCCAGATGCACCCCGGAATCAGAGTCTCTGGAAGGAGGAGACACTGGCCAGATACTGTTCCTGAAGCTCTTGCTCCTAAAGCACAGCCCACACTACAAAGCTCTGATGTTCCCGAGGCTGAAAGCTGGAAACAGCCCAGAGACCCATTTCCCCTCAAGAGCCTCTTGGAGCAGTTAGAGCTTTGAATTTCAGCACCATCTTTGGGGTCATGGCGCCTTTCCCCTTCACACTGTGACAGAGTCTGACTTTTTCATCTTCCCTCTGCAAGAGTACTTGTCTGACGAATGGTTAAAGATGCTACACTGCATCAAACTGTCCTCATGGCCTGAAACTTCACATAATTTCTTGTCACAGGATTTCTTTTTGCTTTTTAGTGAATCTGCATAAAGTACCATCATAATCTGAGGACAGCAGCGGGCCCTGTTTAAGCCAGAAATTTCCAGACTTAGTAGGCCTTTGGGGAAGAAAATCACTCAGCCCTTCCTAGGAATCAACCTTCACGCAAACAGAAAGTGCACCCCCTAATTTCATAAAAAGTCCAGTGCCCCCCCCCACATCAATCCCTTGGAGGGGTGGGGGTGAAGGGAGAATTACCAGAGTTGGAAAACACTGATCTGGACAATGTGATAAAGATCTTCCAGCTCAAGCTGAATTTAATAAACACACAAGAAACTCGTCCAAATGAAAAATATCCTTCCTCTTTTTCTGACTGAGAACAGACCTTCCCGAGGTGGGGAAAGGGTAGGCGAGGGGGTGTCCAGCTGAGGACACACAGAGGGTGCTAGCAAAGGACACACAGAGCCAGGGCCCCCGGGCTCCAGGGGCCTAGAGGGAAGAAACAGGGGGCTGGGTTCCAAGGGCCTCTGAGGGAGGCCGACACCTCTGGAGGGAGATGACTGCCTGACAGAACTGTGTAACTCCACGGGAGCGAGGCTTTTGGACCTTCTTTGAAAAATGATTTCATTAACTCTGGACCTGTGGAGGATTGTAGGAGAAAGCTGTCAAGGAGCTGACTAATTAAATCTTCTTAGACATTAGGAGAGAAAACTCACACTTAGCTCACCCCTGCCATGAGCAGACAAGCCCCAAATCCCAACTTCCAGGTGACTGTGTCACTGGGTGTTCCCTCTTAGCCAACCTGAGGCTGGAGAGGAGCAAGGGGCCCAGACGTGCTGTCTCTGAGTGATTATGTCCATGGAGCCTTATTCTCTAATTGCTGACCGTGAGGCTTGGATTAGGGACCTAATCCTTCTTAGCTTCCTCATCTATCAAACAGGGAGAAGGGCAGCCACCTTTAACGGGCAGGAGGAAGAGTGAGAACACACATGAGCACTTCCTGTGCCCAAAGTACAACATGGAACTCCCGACAGTCCCTGCTGGAGTGGAGAACCAGCCTAACGAGCGTTCCTACACTCAGGTCAACCTCAGCCCCTGAGCCCCAGACAACTTCTGCAGGCATAGCCCAAGCACGTGTCAGCTAGGGAGCGTATCTGCTCGGGCTCACCCTTCTAGTCAAGTGCCTAGCACCAAAGGTTCAAGGAAACACTCCTTGAAACAAAAACTCATGGTTTCTTGCTGTTAATCAACTGGACTGAGAAAGCACACATTTTCCTGGCTGCTAGCTCTGAGCAGAGGCTCATCCAGAACGTTTCTGAGATAAACCAAAACGCTGCTAAAACACATGTGTGCAAAAAGCCCCTTAAGCAAGCCAGGAGCTGCAGAGAGAATTGCTTCTGCTTCCTTTCAGATGCGCCATTTGGGCCGTGGGGCCCTTGCTTCCATCACTCTTTCCTTGGGTTTCTCAAAATTATTTCCTGGGAACCAGTAGAACCTTCAATCTCCCAGAGCTGATTCCTTTGTCATCTAAGGACTTGAGTTCTGCAGCCCTGGATTCAATGCCTGCCTTCTGAGAAACACTGTATTGGGATTTTTCTTTAGGAGAGACAATGGTATATAGTTTGGATCCATTTTCAAAAAGAGGAACTAATGATGGATGTTCTTACATCGGTTAGCTCCATCAGAAATGGGAAACCTTTTCTGAATCTCCCAAGAGGTCTGATTTTTGCTAACTCCTTCTTTCACCCTCACTCACATACAGGACCTTTTCCCTCTTTCCTCTCCCTAAAGTGGTGATGGTACTTCCGAGCAGGTGCTGCTGTTAGTCAAGAATACTTGTGCTGTGCTCTTTACAGATTGAGTTCATACAACACTGAAGAAGCAAGGAGGCACCGGAAGTTACCTGGGCGATGATATCCCCATTCTCAGCATGGACTTGAGCAAGAGCACCCAGCTCTCCCAGACAGGTGAAGATCTCGTAGAGCTAAAACAGAAACAAGTCTTTGTCATCTTCACAGGAACTAACAACCTCACACAAGCACCAATCACTAGAGTCAGAGGTAAAAGGAATGCACCAGGGCTGAAGAGACAGGACAGGGAATAATGTCCCCAGTTGACCTGAGTTCTATGCCCAACATGGATGGCCCCCAAAGCACTACTAGGAGTAAACACTAAGCACAATGAAGGTAGTAAGTTCTAAGCATTACTGGGTGTGGCTCCCCGCATACACACACACACACACAAAAAGACCAAAACAAAATAATAGAATACACCTGGAGAAATACGGGACGAGAATAAAAATAAAATCCTTTCCAAAGGGAAGTGCTAGTCCCAAGGACTCTGTAGAGAGTTCTGTGGTCAGTTCTTGGGCAAATAAAGGGGTAGTATTACTACTCTCACCAGGCTGCCTCTGGCTCCAAATTTAAATGAATTATTTTCCACTAAGCTTCAGAACCCAGAGAAGCAGGGGTGGGGTGGGGGGATAGGGGGTGGGGAGAGGGGGCTAAACAAAGTCACTAAACTTCTGCTCACCTATTCCATTTAGCCTCCCAGGAATCCCCAAGGCCTGGCTGAAGGCTGAAGGTTAACCCAATAGCTGACACTTCTCTTGCATAACCTCTCAGGGATGATATCCTTGAGCTTCTAATGGAAATTAGTTCCTTGTACTTACTCTTGTACCTCTTAAGAGGCCTGGGAATTAATATCTTACATTTCCCCTGAAAATCCAAGATTTGACTGAATCAAATACATGTCAGTTTTCTTGGGGAGAGACTCAGAGGCAAGCTAACACATTAACCCCAAGAGAGGACCCTTTTCTGTCCTGTCCCTGTGCTCCTGTGGGATGTGGAGTCTGGTAGAGAGACAGTGGCTGAAGTGCTTGGACCTGGTGGCCACCAAAGACCCACTCGGGAATACCTGGGGGACCACCTGGTGCCAGGGATTAACTCTGGCCTCAAGCATGCTAGGCATGGCCTCTATCCCTGGAGCCATATCCCTGGCCCTTCTTATTTTTGATACAGTTGCTACTGGTGAAAATTCTAATTCCCTGCTTGCTGGGTAACAGGAAACCTCCTCCCTCCACCTTATTTAAAATGCAGCATGTGGACAAGAGAGACAGCTCTACGAGCTGGATGTGCCAATCCATCATGAGACCTCTAAGCCCCGCTGGGTATACCCTTAAGGCCCCCAGGTACCACCAGGGTGCACTGAATCACTGGCCTGGTAGGAGTGGCCCCAAGGACACCCTGAACACTGCTTGAAAGGTCAAAAAAGGAAACACATAAACAGAACAACAACAAAAATTGTAACATGAGCTGAGAGGATGCTGGAGGCATTCTGGCCTGGCCATCTCTCACAGTGACCACAGTGACTCATATCAAAAGAGCTGAGACCATCAGCAACAACAGCAACCTCATCCAGAAACCCCAAACCACACAGCAACGGGGCGTTACCTCAGTGTTAGACACTTGATACAAATCCTTATAGGCCATGTAAACCATGAAGGAGTTGACTCCTGTAAGGGAAGAAAGTAGAAGGACATTAGTACCGTCTCATTCTGACATTCACCCCCACTATCATTGCCCATGGCCCGGTGCATCATGGACTCTGGTTTGACACAAGCTGATGCTCCCCATTGATACAAGGCTCTACATATTTCCTATCGGCCCTACAAACTCATCAGTTTCCAAGTGAAGCTATAGCAAAACAGTGTGCTCGAGGCTTCTTTCTTGCCGCCCGCATCCCAGGGGGTCCGTAAGCTCTGGAATTGCCCTACTCAGCATGCATCACCGAGAATCACCATCGCACACATCCCATAGCAGAGAGCTGCTCAATAGTTTAATGAGCTCAAAATCCCTAATTTCTGGAGTGGGGGGCAAAAAAAAAATTCCTCATCTCTGGAGTCACACTTTCCTCATGTGGAAAGAGTAAAAGTGGAACGCATACTTGGTAAGGAGATTGACGATGTACACTGAGAACACAGACTTCTCTGCACAGAGCTCAGGAGTGACCTCTCAGGGTCAGTCTGGTTCAGTCTTTTGAACGCAGGTCCTGTTTCACATGCGGCCTGTGCAGGGTCTGCACTTGAGCGGAATCGAGGTTATAAGAGACATTTAACTTTTCGGTCCAAATCAATTATTAATATAGAAATTTATGGAAGCAGAGTCATTTTGAGGAGAGGGCAATTTTGGTCTCCAACCATTTGGGCCATCTCAGCCCACAGTGTTCTAGGCCAAATGTGGGTGGTAATTGGAGAACTTCTTACTCAAAGTGGTTCAGCTCAGAGCTGTTTTTTTCCAGCACCACTTCAGGTTCACCCAAGAAATGGCCGGGGCTCTTTGGAAGGAAGAGAATGTTAAAGCCATTTCATTGTCTAACCCAGTTGAGGTGCCCAAAGCTAAAGAAAGAGGCAAGAAAGAATGCTGGCATTCTGTATTAGGAAGAACTAGATAAAGCACAGTGAGTTAAGGACAGGGAGAGGAGAACTTGGCCCCTGGAAGGCCATAGTTCCCCTAACTTCTAGCACCATCCACTCAACTCAGAGTATCTGCATCCAGATTACTTCCTGGGGATGGTTCTGAGTAGTGTGGTACCAACTTGGGTGTATGCACGGGGCTGCTTCCTTTTGCCCCGGATGCTCACTGATGGATCTCTTTCACGTCCATTAGTCTAGTCCCCCAGGATGCCTTTTCACTCTGTTGCCAGCACAGTAAATCATTGCACAGACAAGAGGCATGCGTATGTGCTTGAAATGTCTGTTTGACCACCAAAACACATGAAGAGGGAGAGAAGAGTCTAAGACAATGCAAACTTATACCAATTTCTCTTTGGATATACACACACACGCATACACTCATGCACACATACATACATGCACACGCACACACGCACACACGCATGCATGTTTTATGTCCTAAGCTCCTAGCCTCTATAAAATCACAGCCTTAACCATGCAAACATTTTCACCTATTCTTCAAGATTAGAATGTTTTATAATAATAATGGTGAGATCGATCTTTGTGGTGAAACTGATGGAAGTTAAAAATTCCCAGTCTCACATAGTAGCTATGTAACCTTAGGTAAGATGCCACATTTTCCAAGTTTCTTCTCTGAAAAATGACAAGTTTCCCATGAAACAGCGGAAACAGCAGACAGAGCTGTTTGCCAGCTCTGGGACCCGGGGTTAATTATTCTGAGTTCCATCTCAGACCCTATCTTGGGAACCCTGTAAGGTGTTCACTGGATGCTGCACACAGATACCTGTTCCTGGTACCCTCCATCTAACACTAACGCTCAAGGTTTCCCGGACTCCCAGTAAAGATGGTATGGGAAGGATAGACAGCTGGAGGGACAGGGGATGTGGGACCCACCTTTGTCCTTGATGAGGCTCTGCACTTCCTGCTTGACGCTGTCGTTCCAGTGGGTGATGTCCACATGCAAGGCGTAGTCACAGCAGCTCTTGCCGTCAGCCCATTCCCTCCACTTCTCATAGGCCTCCGTCAGGCTGGACTCAGGCTCAGGAACCACGTGATCGACTGAACGACAGAAGTCCAGGGGGTGACTTCCTGCTACAGCCTCTGTCCTGCACCATCCCCACCCCCAACCAGGTTGCTCCTACTTTCGAGAAACAAGCACAAATACCAGAGGTGTTCTATAGAGTTCCAATTTCCTGAGCATGGAATTCACCTTGGAAAGTGCTCCCTGGCAGCATCAAGGGTGCTGATGCTAGAAGTGTCATTTAACTATATGAGTTGGGGTAAAGGACTAGTCTCTTCATACCTCGGTTTTCCTATCCATAAAATGGGTGGGGACAGGGAGAAACAGTGCCTTCCTTCTGAGTTTGTTGTAAGACTGAACGGGAAATGCAGGCAAAGGGCTGGTGGATACCTGGCATGAGTGGGAACTCCACAAATGCTTTCTGCAAGTACTGCCACATGCCCTTAGAACTGTTACTGGGACAGATAGGGGTTTATTCAGGGTACCACTGTGACCAGTCAGACTGTGTTCTATGGATGGTAGGATATTATGTCAGGGTACAAGTGATGTTCCAAGGGATCTGCCATAGGACACAACCAGGGACCAGGTACAGTCACAGGTCTTGTCTGCATGTAAATTTCTTGTCCAAATCTGGTTTCCTGGAGATCCAGATCTACTTCTGCAGTACCTGCCACCATGGATAATTTAAACATTTAAAAATATTATTTAAAAATAATATCACCGAGAGTTGATGACGATAAGGAAAAGTGACACTCACAGTTGCCCTGAGCAATTAAGGAAAGTATAAACAGGAATGACTTGCCTAAAAACAATTCTGAAACAGGTAGCAAGAGCCTTTCTTTTCAGAAATAAGCAAGGGAAAAAATACTAAATAAAACAAACAAAAACCATTTAGATTTCAGGCCAAATTAGGGGTTAGCAGGAGAGGAGGGGGTGGGTAAATCAGGTAAAAAGGGTGATCCACATGGCAAAGGATGAAATTGGATGCTCTATGGGGAACATAATGGGAGTTTCGAGAAATTAATTCATTTGTAATCATACTCACATAGAACTTAGAAATATTACAGTGCAAAGTTACTTCAATAAAAATATTTTTTAAAAGCTTGACACTTTAATTCTTAACTCAATAATCATCCCTATGGAGATAAATGTGACTATATGCAAAATCTGGTTTGGATAAATTTTTGCTGCTATGAAAGTTTCAGTATATTTTCTGTAAGTGGGGAACTGGAAATAAGAAATATCTTTAATAAGAGACAAATCTAGTTAAATGTACAATTTGTGATGATTCTTTCATCAAATGGCTGGTTTTGTCTCCAAAATAAATGAAATGGAAACATATTCACAATGTATTTATTTAAAGAAAATGGTAGGTAAAACACAGTGCATCTATTATGATTCTATTTTTGTTAAATAAGGGAAAAAATAACCAAAATGTAGCAATCATGGGACTTCTGGGTTTCTTTTCTTTTTTTGCTTAACTCTGTTTTTTAATTATCTACAGACACGTATGCTCCTGTGGATGTTTGCTTGCTCTTCTTTTTCATCACCCAGAACTCTTAACTCCTACAACTCTTTCCTGACAAAGAAAACCAGGCATGATACATGTCTAGGATGCTGGGCCCCTCCAGCACCTAGTCCAGTAAAAGAAAACCATCCCCAAGAATATTCATTTTTTTCCATCTTCCATTGCTGCCTACCCAAGTCCATTTATTGGAAAAATAAATGCATGGAGCTACCTTTGGTGTATGGCCCCACAGAAGGGATATCAAGACAGGAAGTGGCTTAGAGTCAGCTGGAGAAAATCTCTGATCTCCTTGAAATGACTTTTTGTGCTGCTGATGCAATTTTCCTGAGCTTCCTAACCAACTGGTTGAAGCTGAATACTGCTGTACTCTCATCAAAAAAATAATAAATAAGCAAAAGCCCCCGAATAATTCTAAGACTCAGGCTATTTGTGTTCTTGGGTGAAATAAGAAGTGCTCTTGCTGATCTAGTTTAGGGCTAGGGCTGGGAGAGCACCCAATTCAGATTCCTCTGGGATAGAAAAGAGTTCTCTGGAATGCTATCTCAGTAAGCCAACAGTGTGCAACTCCCTACGTTTCTCTGAAACTGCAATAGTTACCAGAAAAATAAAACAGAAAACAAGGGAAATCACCCCCTCAACTTACCTAATCTTAAAGATATGCACTGGTCAAAGTACAGCACAGATCAGTCAGCACTACATGCCAATGAAGCCCACTAATTTCCCAAGAATTCTGTCTCCACTATCATTCTCTCTGATCCCAGAGAGAAAAGGAATCTAGCCCTATACAGCCTCACCCCCTGCCTCTTGGCCTCCCCCTTGCATAAGGTACAGACAGAAAATTCTGAAATAACACTTAGCTCACTCTCCAAATTTTCAAGTCCACATTCTTTAATGATGGGCTCAGAAGTGATACCTCTAGGTTCTGCACCCACAGTGAGGATTGCTGCTTTTATGGTCATGAACCTACAACTCTCTTCCCTAACTCTTAACTAAATATAGTTGCTTTTTTTAACTCCCATTTCATAGGCTGAATGTCTATAAACTGAAGGAAATGTGCACAGCATTGTTAGAGGGTACCGTTGGTGCTATGTTAGCTAAGTGCTCTCTTCTTGGGACTAGCAGGGTATCAAGTTGGGAACTTACTGATCATGGTGGTGCCCCCTGCCAAGGCAGCCTTGGTCCCCTGGAAGAAGTCATCCACTGTGGTCATTCCCTTGTACGGCATCTGGAAGTGAGTGTGGACATCAATGCCTCCAGGGATCACCATCTTCCCATTGGCTTCGATGGTCTTCACTCCTCCAGGGACAATCAGATTGTCTCCAATTTGCCTAGTGAGACAGGACAGCTGGCAATTGAAAAGAGCATCTTCCAAGACAAATACAGTATGGCAATATTTCAAACACTGAGGCTTATTTTTGTCAAAATAATTCCTTCCAAGTGACCCTCTAGAAACAAAGGTATGCATATATCCACAGATACAGATATGATTATACCTATGTGGAAGATGATTTTATAGATACAAAAGAATCCAATGTTCCACTCGAGAGGGACCATGTTCTCTGACTTGGTACTGTAACCCCAGTGATATGAGAGTGTCTGGAATAGTGTGTGCATTAATTTTTTTTTAAGTTTGTGTTTTTATTATCACCTTCAGTTTATTCTTTAATATGAAGGATAACATTTAGAGAAAGATTGAAAGATTCTAACAGATGGTCAGGAAAGATTGAAAAGGTCAACAAAGAGCAGGAATGTGAAATCAACTCTTGCTCACGGGTTCATCTATGCTCTCAACTAAAGGAAAATGCCTGGGTCATTTTCCCTCCATTCTTTACTCCAATTCCAACCTTCTCACAGCTGAAGGTACATTCACGAAATAAAACAAAAGTGCAGAAGCCCTCCGGAAATCAACTGCTCTTGTGGGATCAGCATCTCAACAGAAGCTTCAAGTCTAAGGGATGACTCCTCCACGAGATACGCTGTCACTAAAGTAGTTTCAGTGCATACCAAAGAGAAGGAAACGGGGATTCAGGTGGGGAATAAGCTGATGAGCACCTCAGAGACTCAATACACAAGGCCAGAGGGACATACTTCTGGCGCAATGCACCTCACAGACCACGCAGTTTTGCTTAACTTATGTGCAATGCACACTTTGGGTTTGAAGAGTAACTGGTTCCATTTGTCCACTATGGATTACAGACTGACTTATGATTCATAAGCCTCAACATTATCATGAAGACTCTTCCACCTAAAGTATCATGTTAAGCGAAATGAGTCAGAAAGAGAGGGAGAGACATAGAAAGATTGCATTCATCTGGGGAACATAAAGTAATAGGAGACTAACACCCAGGAATGGCCGAGATTAGTACCAGGAATTTTACTCCATGGTTTAGAGGCCAGCCACACATGCTAGGGGAAAAGGGAGCTCAGATAGAGAAGGGAGCACCAAATAAAGGGTGTTGGGAGGATCCTCCCAGGATGGGAGAGGCATGCTGAAAGCAGACTATAGACCAAACATGATTGCCACTCAATGCCTCTCTTTCAAACCACAGGATCCAAAAGGAGAGAGACAGAATAAAAGGAAATGCCCTGCCACAGAGGCAGGGTGGGGTGGGGGATATGGGGGGTGGGAGGGATACTGGGACCCGTGGTGGTGGAAAATGAGCACTGGTGGAGGGATGGGTACTTGATCACTGTATAACTGAAACCCAAGCACAAAAAGTTGTAAGTCTACAACTGTACCTCATGGTGTTTCACTAATAAAAATTAAAAAAGAAAGACTCTCCCACCTAGGGGCTGCATGGGCTCTGGAGCCAGTAATATGAATTCTTCCCCCTTTGTTCATAGTCCACCAAAAAAGATACTCTCTCCGGGCAGTGAGAAATCCACCAAAAAAAACAAAAACAAAAAAACAAAACTCTGAGTTCTGGAACAAAAATAGAATAAAGTACTCCTGACATTTCTGAGTTTGATTTCACTATGTCCCCTCTGGGTCATACCAGAGTGGCACAATTCAAAACACTCTAGGAAAAAATGCAGCCACTGATGGTGACTCTGTTCTATTCTGGATATTAGGGTTCCATTTCTCATCTTCAGTGATTTTCCTTTGAGAGAAACAGTGAAATAAGGGCTTCAAGAGTTGCTTGCCTATATATGTATGTACATGCAGCTGTGCATGTGTGCATGTATGTGTATATGTGTTCATTTCACTCATTTGGCAACAAGTCTGACACAGAAGTGCCTCCCCTCTTTTCTCTACTAAAGCAGTCAAGGACACATTAATCCTTGAAGGCTCAGCTTCCATCTCCCCTGCTGAGTCAATCAGATCTTCTCTGGGAGAGTCTATTTAAGTTCAGAATCTTGGCTCTGTCAGTTAGAGCTCTACAACTAGGTCCAAGTTATTTAATTGGACCCATCAGGTCACAATTCCTTCATCTGCAACATAATTAAAAACTTCCTCTCTAGGGTTGCAGCATAGGTTAAAAAGTCCATGGAATACTTTTAGGCATATAAGAATTCAATATCTCAATGAGAATAGTTCAGAGCACTCTACTCCCATAAGGCCCTTGGAGTAGAGTCTCTTCTATTTTTACTAATTTAATGCTTGATGTTTTTTGGGTTTTCTTTGTTTTATTTTGTTGCTTTCTCAGGGGTTAATCCTGATTCTGCACTCAGGAATTACTCCTGGCAGTGCTTGGGGGACCATATGGGATGCTGGGGATCAATACTGGGTCGGCCGTGTACAAGGCCAACGCCCTATCTGCTGTACTATCTCTCTGGCCCCAATGCTTGATGTTATTGGTGTCCTCTGCATTTGTACAGATAGCTTATGCCCCTAAAGCACTGCCAATTCTGTTGGGATTGGGAAGAAACTGTGATAATTGGTCCCAGTCACACATACACCATTCACCATGAAATGTAAAGCAGCTGAGACATTCCCAGTGCAGAAGACAACTGGCATTGCACGCAGCAGGCACTCCAGAAAAATGTCACAGACAACCAACTCTAATAAATGAGAGTAACTTTTTCTGTTTGTATGCTCAGAGCTAAGAATGAGGTTAAACATGTACAATTTCAGCATGGGTGGAAGATCGGGTTTATTCAACTTTTTCCTCTACCACAAAAACACACATCGAAGTTTGAATTTCTTCCGTAATATCTTTGGCAAGTGACCTTCAAACCTATCCTAAAAGAGAAGGCAGAAAGCATTCAAATTTACCTTTGTCATGAAAGTCTAAATTCCCACATGAGGATGGATTCTGAGTTCATAGTAAGAATCTATTGCAAAAAATTCTGTGACCAATTGATGATGCCTGTTGTAAACTCTGAACAAAGTAAAAATATCACCTGCACACTTTTCTGCTTCATCTCCCCAAAATGAGGAAGCTTTAAATCCTTCGAATGAGGAAGTTGTTGCCTCCATTAAAAAGAGTCATACACAATTTTTAAATACTACTTAGTAGAAAAATGTAAACTCAATTATGGTTTAACATTGGAGAAACAAATTTATATTAATTGGTTGGTCCAATGTTTCTATTTCTCCTTTTAATATGAAAAGTGTTGAAACTAGGCTAGGCCATTGTCAGGATGCTGGCATTATTTGCATACATTCATTCACTCTCAGGTTCAGTGTATTGGATTAACACGTTATTAGCAAGCTAGTATCTCTGTTTCTCTCTTTCCTTGTCTTATAAAACATTCACAATACTTCTTCACAGTAATTATCACGATCACGATCCTCCCGTTGTTCGTCTATTTGCTCGAGTGGGCCCAGTAACATCTCCATCATGAGACTTGTTGTTACTGTGTTTGGCATATCGAGTACGTCACGGGTAGCTTGCCAGGCTCTGCCATGCGGGCGAGATACTCTCGGTAGCTTGCCGGGCTCTCCCAGAGGGTTGGAGGAATCGAACTCGGGTCAGCCATGTTGGCTGCGTGCAAGGCAAACGCCCTACAGCTGTGTTATCGCTCCAGCCTACACAGTAGCTCCAGACTACACAGTAATTATAGTCAAGGTTAAATGCGACATATAGGACATTGATCAAAAGCATATAGGACAGTGCTTCACACACACTTATACTCAATAAAATGTAACTCCTATACAAGTTTCTATGAGCTAAGCACAGAGAACATGAAGATAAGGAAGATGTGGTCCATGTTCTCAGGGGCCTTCACAGAATGAAAGTATGACTGACACAAGCACTTTGAAGGGGGAACTAGTGCAGATTTGCAGGTGGGTACAGGATATTCACCTACAGAAAGCTACACCTGACCCAAGTTTTCAAAGGTGAGTATGAGGTTTCCTATAACTAGAGTCTTGAATTAACCAATGAAGTTGAATAATATAAAAATAAAATTGAGCGAGGCCAGGGACAACTATTCATAGATTGGATATACCGGTTTTAGACAAAATCTTATCTGAGGAGGGGTGAACCTTACTTAAGTGATGAAAGGCGATCCTTGTGAGAAATAAAAAGCTTCTAGGGGCTGCAGAGATAGTAGGACACTTGCCTTGCATGTAGCCAAACTGGGTTTGATCTTCAGCACCCGATATTGTCTCCTGATCACAGGAGTTATCTCTGAGTTCAGAGCCCGGAGAAAGTTCTGAGCACTGCTGGGTTTAACTCCAAAAATATACAATATAAATATATCTTATATGCTATATAGATTTATATATGTAAAGTTTACATGGCTGTGCTTCTTATAATCATCCTATAATAAACTCTTTGAGGGGGCAGGGTGCTGGGTGGTATTTGACTATACTCAGGTCTTAATTCTGGCTCTACTCAGGGACCACTCCTAGTAGTGCTCAGTGCTCAGTAGACTATTTGTGGTAATAGGGATTTAACTCAAGTTGGCTATGTGCAAGTACCCTACCTGCTACACTACCGCTCTGGCCCTTGGCAAATCATTTGGTAATTTATCCCTAATGCATTCATTTGGAATTTTTGCCTAAAATGTATGTCCTTCTGTTCTGTTCACCTAAGTCAGGGTTCCATTTTAAAGCTCATGCCACCAAAAAGTCATTCTCTGGAGGAATTTGCTCTTTGAAGTCCTTCTAAATCACTATATTCATTTAAACCCCTTTAGCACTTAGTACACAAGCCTTCTATTTTTTAGGGGACTATCATAGCACATATTTTCCAGCAACTTTAAGGACAGAAGACACATCTGTCCATTCACCAAGTAGAGAGCACCTCTCCATGCAGAATGCACAAAGGAGCCCTCAGCATCCGTCATTGATTGAGATTTTCCACCATGTTCATGTCATCCAGGTCAAGTCAGTAAAGTCCCTACTTTGAAGGCACTGCATGCATCCAGGCTGAAAGCCGAAGACAAAGACGCTTGTTTTGTTGATGTGCTGATTTGATTTTTTCAGTTGTGTTTTGTTTGGGGGCCACATCCAGCAGTGCTGAGTGTTTACTCCTCAAGAGACCATATGTAAAGCCGTAGACTAAACATGGGCAGACCACGTGCAAGGGAAACATCCTATCTTCTGTACTACCTCTCTGGCCCTGAAGACACGGTTTTGTGTTTATTTATTTATGTATTTTCTTTTAGGGGGATGGGGGACCATGCTTGACAGTGCTCAGAGTTTACTTCTGGCTCAGGCATCACTCCTGGCTGGGGTCACAGGGGAAGCCATCTGGGGTACTGTGGGTGGAACCTGGGTTGGCTGTGTGAAGGGAAGTGCCCTACTCACTATATTATTGCTCCAGCCACCTGAAGATTCATTTTTAAGGAGAAATGAAACATAAAGAGACACTAGTCTAGAGATCAAAAAGAAGCATTCCTAAAGAGAATACAAAAGGATAAAGTGAAAGAAACTTCATACTTTACTAAGATACCTACTTTATCAAACCATCTTCCATATAAATATCAGCATAAAAAGACTGATCATCGTTGACAATTCTGCCTCCCTTGATAAGAAGACGATCACTCTGGAAAAGAAGAAGAACATGAGTCAGTTTCACAGCAAGGATTCAGAGTGTTAAAGATCCTATTCAGAACAAATTACTCAAGACATGCAACACTCGACGTACTCTACACGGAGTCAGGGTGCTTTTGCTAGGGAGCCAGTTTTCCTTGTTTGCTCCTTAATCAAAAATCCTTATTCTGAGTTTTACATCTTGCTTTGCAACTTACCAAAGACATTAGAATCAGAGCTACTGCAGAGAAACACTCTTTGCACTGTTTACTCAGCTTAAGCACTATACATTTAAAGTAAAATTACAATATATTGCAATGTCTAACACCTTTTTTGATATTATTGACACATGCAAAGTTGTATTATATATTGGAAAACTGCAAGAAGAAAAAACAGTTAAGAGTATTTAGCTCAAGGTGAAGATATGTAAAGCACTGTAGCATTGTCCTCCCACTGTTCATCAATTTGCATGAGCAGGTCCAGTAACGTCTCCATTGTGAGACTTGTTGTTACTGTGCTTGGCATATTGAATATGTCATGGGGAGCTTGCCAGGCTTTGCAAGAGATATGTAAAATTTATGCTTGCCTTATTATATTCTGAGGTGTATTACTTTAGTACCATAAAGTACTGAAAAAAAAAGAAAGAAAAGAAAAACAGAGCCAGGACTAAGCCCAAAGCAAAGCTGGGTGTGCCCTGAAAAAATTTAAAATAATGAAAATTTCATTATGAGAAAAAAAATTTTCTTATGAGAAAATTATTTCGTTATTTTATTTTATTTTTATATGTGTAGTGCCAGGGATCAAACCCTAGGTCTAACATGCAAGGCTCTATTGCTGAACAATATTCCTGACCCTAGAGAAAAGTCTTTAAAATTGCAACTAAATGAAATTCAGATAACAGATTTGACTGAAATCGAACAGACACTCCAAGATTATTTAAAAAGCATAAAAATATATTTTATATTCCAGGAAAGAAAATCATTGATGTGTTTAGAGATCATAGATTTCATTCGATAAATGGCACTTCAACTACAGCATAAGGTGTGGATATAGCTTTGTTGGATTCAAGGGGGAGAAGAGAATTCTAAGGAGCCTGGTCGAATGAAGTTACAGCATGAATATGGAATGGTAGACTGGTATGGTAGGTTTTGTTAATAATTCAACACACGGGGCTGGAGCAACAGAACAGCGGGTATAAGGCATTTGCCTTGCACGAGGCCGACCCGGGTTCGATTCCCAGCATCCCATATAGTCCCCCGAGCACCGTCAGGAGTAATTCCTGAGTGCATGAGCTAGGAGTGACCCCTGTGCATTTCTGGGTGTGACCCAAAACATAAAAATTAAAAAAAGTTCAACATACAGAATTTATCTCCATCTGTCTACCCATTTATCTATCCATGCATGCACTCATATGTTCATCTGTTCATTCACTGATCCTTCTGCTCATCTATACAACCATGTACCCACTTGTCTATCTACTCATTCAGCCACCCGCCTACCCACACATACAACAGTCATCCACTCATTCAGCAAATAATTACTTAACATTTATTTATTAAGAAGCTGGGGAAGGTATAGCAATAAAAGTGTTGCACCAGGCCATTGCTTTTTAAAACTTAGAGTAAGAATCTGTCAAGTAGAAAACCAGTCAAGTCAACAAGACAAATAAAACAACATACAATTGCATGAAGCATTGCAGAATTTGGGGAGAAATTGGGGTGGGGGAGGGCTGAAATAGCTTTTTCAAGGAAGGTCGATTTAAATGGGGCTGAGAGCAGAGAACTCTTTCAGGTAGAGGTAACAATGTGTGCAACCCCCCTGATAAGTTTAATTTCTGGTTCTTTGAAAACCTGAAAAAGATCTATGGGAAGGGAGCTGAGCTCTGAAGAGATATGAGATAAGGTAAGGAAGGCAGACACTGACTTTGAAAGAGCCACAAGCTCTATGAGAAAGAAGGCCAATACACAGACTGACTTAGAAACACAAGCTTTTGAACAGGGACAGAAAATGAGAATTGAAGCTCCAGATGGCATACAAGAAATTGCCACTTAATTTTCTCCTGCTCCCAAGGTGTTACATGAGAATAAGAAATTTCATCATGCTGTATTGTCAAGGGAGAATATTTTTCAAAAATACATATATAACCAGGCTTTTGGGGAAAAGCCTACCCAAGTGACAAGAAAGATGACCTAAAGTCAAATAAAACTCCCACTACACAATTTACAATCTGAGCTGGCCTATGTCACGATACCCACCCCATTCTCATCATGCATACATCAAGAGATCAGTGGCTTTTCACATGTCAAACTTTCTGGACATTGAGCCTTTGCAGACATGTTCTGTCTACCTTCTCCTGTCCATTTGGCTCCCAACAACCAGTCCCTCCTTTGTCAAGTCTCCAGCCAAGGAATATTTTTTTAAAGCATGAATCCTGGCTTTCCAATAATTCCACCTAATCTTGCTGCAGTTTACTTCAAACAACTACACTGACGTATAATAGCGGTTTTGTTGTTCATTTGTCTCTTGATAGACCAAAGACAACTTTTGTTTTAGCACTTGAGGTCTTTTGATCATTTGATCTAAGTTCCTAGAGAGCTGTTTAACATTGATAAGATGAATGTGAGGTGAGAGCTGCATACTGTCAGTGTAATGAAAAGGTCATCAGTGTCAGAAAGTGAAGTGGCCACAAAACAGGTTTTTAAGAAAAAATTAGTCTCTATGGAAAGTGGCTATATTTTACCAAAATTGCAACTTTATAGGAGACGCTGCTAGGATTTTGCTTCCAAGCTAAAGTGTACATTAGGAAAATCAAGATCCCAAGCTCTGCTCTGAAACACCAAATCTGAGGTTTGTAAGCCCCACGAGGGCTCTCACACATAGCCTTCAGCCAATCCAGCACCAGGTCACAGAACAGCATCAGAAAGCACTGTCCCGGCCTTTTGTGTGTGTCAAGGACTGAGGGGGAACGAGCATCTTGAGTAAGAGCTTCATAATAATAATCTTGGTCATTTAAGAGTTTCCTCTCAGAGCTCATTGCTCTTTTGATGCTCTTTATCTTTCCAACAAGAGTTGCAGTAATCTAGTTTTTGGAAAGTGGCCAGTCACTGCCCAAAGCCAGACCAGATATGAAATAGGATCATCCTTCATCTAGGGATATCTCAGCCTAGAGCCATGCACTCCTAGGGTGATCATCACTCCCTTCACATGTCAGCAAAGGGACAAATGCTATTTCTGGCCCTTAGGATGCCAGAGAATGGTGAGCTGATTCAAGTGAAATTAACGCCATGGAGATACATCTGTGGAAATTCTTCAAGTGATAATTAAACTGTGTCTGGCTCAATCATCAGCAATCTAAATTGACAGAGCACAATCAGGAATCTAAATTGTTCGAGGCTGATCTAGATCTATCAGAGAAGGGAGTAATAAGACCCCGTGTCCAGAGTTCAATATAAATCAACTTGAAAGAAGTAATTAGTTTTTAAAAAAATAGGAAGAAAAACAAGAAGGGAGTAAGGAGTAAGTAATATCATTAATATTATTTTTTTAAAATCATATAGAACAGCAGTATGAAAGTCTCAACTCCCAAAATACTGCTTCTGGGATCCTCAGTTAATCCCCCTGATCTTTATTAAAGTGAATAATAAGCCACTTTATTATATCTATTTCCATTTGTGTCGGATCCACTATCAAGGGCAGCCTAGTGAACTGTTTTCAGGCCCAGAAGAATCTGAAAGACAGTGTTGGAACTTGGCAGTGAAGAAGACAGTCATTCATCATGTCCAGGCTAGAAACAAATGGGTGGCTATAAAATGGGTGGCTATAAAATGGGTGGCTATGCTTTGGGGAAAAATTCAGGGAGCAGAACACACTAGAGTAAAATATCAACTAGATGAACTGTCTTAAACATAATGACAAGAGGTCCTTTCTGATAAAGCTCTTCTCTCTGATACTAAATCTGACTCTTCCAGCCCTAAAACTGTAGACCAACTCTCTGCAGTAGGTAACTTTAGGAGTCCAGTAACTTCTAAGCCAATTTATAAAATCAGGGCATTAACCCTGCCCCTCATGGCCCACATGTGTTAGTGCAACTAAATGAGAACCTAGAATAGTGCAGGTCCTTGGGCCAGAGTGATAGCATAGCAGGTAGGGCGTTTGCCTTGCATGTGGCCACCCTGGGTTTGATTCCTCCGCCTCCCCCGGAGAGCCCAGCAGCTACCGAGAGTATTCCGCCCACACGGCAAAACCTGGCAAGCTACCCATGACATATGCCAAAAACAGTAAAAACAAGCTTCACAATGGAGATGTTACTGGTGCTCGCTTGGGCAAATTGATGAACAACCGGAGGACAGTGACAGTGACAGTGCAGGTCCTTGAAATCTGTTCAAGTCCAAACTACAACAATATAAATCAACTTGAAAGAATTAGTTTTAAAAAATAGGAAGAAAAACAAGGGAGGGAGTAAGGAGAGAGAGAGACAGAGAGAGACAGAGAGAGATAGAGAGAGACAGAGACACAAAGAAGAGAGGGAGAGGGAGAGGGAGAGGGAGAGAGAGAGAGAGAGAGAGAGAGAGAGAGAGAGAGAGAGAAATCTGATACAACAACAAAAAAATGCTAAAATTGCCTGAGACTGAAACTAGGGAATCTTGAAATCAAGCCCACTGGAGATGCTAACTCTCATTTCTGTTTTTCTTTTCTAATCTTCAACTTCCATTCCATCCCAGGGACGTCAAGTTGTATGTTTTTTGGTTTTTGTTTTTTTGCTTTTGGGGTCACATCCGACGATGCACAGGAGTTACTCCTGGCTTTGCACTCAGGAATTACTCCTGGCAGTGCTTGGGGGAGGGGGCCATATGGGATGCTGGGAATCAAACTCGGGTTGGCCACGTGTAAGGCAAATGCCCTACCCACTGCACTACTGCTCCAGTCCCCAGGGACACCAAGTTTGACCTCACATTTCCGCCCCACAAAGTCAGCCCAAGACCAGCACTTAAGACCCTTTTTCTCCATACTCTA